GGGAGGAGTCGGGGACAGCGCTATGGGAGGGGGATTGGTCGGAGTGAGAGGGGGCGGAGCCAGGGCCAGAGAGACAAATGCCAGGCACGGTTGTCACTGCGGGAGGGGCCTCTCCCTCCTTCTGCTGCTGCTGGGTGCCCAGACTTTGAGGAGCAAGCGTGTTCTTCAGCACCAGCTCCTCCACCTGGGGTGGGGCCTCAAGAGGGGCCGGCTGCTGGGAGGGGAGTGTCTTGGGTGGGCTTTGCTGTTGGGGTGGATGCATTTTGTTCTGAGGTGCGGCCTGAGGAACAGTCTCCAGAAGGACCAACTGGGAGAGCTTGGGCGGGATGGTACCGAATTTGATGACAGACTGGGCAGGGTCGAGCGAGGCCTTCTTCTCTGAAAGCTTACGCCCGGGATTTTCCATCTTTATGGACTTGAAGAGCTGGGTGCCCGACTGGAGGGAGGTGAGGGTGAACGTGGTGTACAGGCCCGAGGTGATGTAGTCGTTGCGGCTAGAGGATTTGTTAGAGCCCTGAACCGTCATAAGTGGTCCAGCCTTCTCGCCCCCCACCCTGTTCTCTTTCGGGGTGTCGCCCCTCTCAGACGAGGCCAGGGAACCACCCCCCCGCCCCGCCACCGCCCCCCTCCACCTTCGCCATGTAGTCTCCACTGAGGATGTCAGGGTAGGACACAAAGCGGTAGACAAACTTCTGCCCGTTCACCTTCTTAATGATGTTCTGTTGGGAGAATCAGGTTACTGTAATACATGATGCCCATGAAAAAATATGAAATTTCATTTTAAATTCTGTCAAAACAAAAAAATTGTCAAAACACTGGATAAAGTAACGCTTGATCTGAGGTGCTTGAAGTGAAATGAAATGGAGGCGCAAACGCATTTATTAGCAGAATAGTCTCAGCAGTAAAAAGGTGATGTTAAAAAAAAAAGATTAACAGCGCTACTGTTTGTGTGTCTTTGTGTATTACAAACACAAAAAATATATATATTCCAAACTGGTATGGATTGCATATTGGCAGGAATATCCCAGTTAAAACTAAATACGAATGCCCCTTGAACCAGAGGTACCTTGTTGAGGACTACCCTCAAACGCGGAGAGCAAGTGAATTAATGACTGACACATGGAAGAAATGAGGACAACCAAGGTTTTTTTTAACCTAGTGACAATCTTCATTTGGCCTAAAAAGGTATGTTAATCAGTACAGGAAATGGAAATTCTGCTAGCATCCATGACTCCAGACAAATGGACTTTAGCCCTTGATATTCATTCTGCTTGCTGGGAATACGAGCGAAAAACTGTATAGCCCACCACAACAGTGACCCAGTCACGGCCAAACTGCAGGCAGCTTACCTTGTCATAGTAGTAGCGTAGGGCCCGGCTCAGCTTGTCGTAGTTCATGCTGGGCTTGTTCTTACGGGCTCCCCACAGCTTGGCCACCTCCTCCGCCTGCAGCAGCTTGAATTCCCCGTCCTCATTGGTCCAGCAGATCAGCTGATCATTGCTGGGGTCAAGGAGGAGCTGCAGCAGAAACTGCCACAGGGTCACTGAGCTGTCCATGCCTGCTGTGGGGATAGGCCAGAACAGATGAGGGAGATGGAGAGAGAAAGGAGGACCAGCTCTGAACTGGCCAATGGAACTTACCCACCTGAACAAGGGACTATCACAATGACATAAAAATGAAATGCCAAAATGTTAACCGATGATAAGGCCATAAAAGATTGCATTTCCCACTGATAAAATTAAACATAAAAATAAAAAAAAGTCAATCCCTTAGTTTTACCTCTTCCTTTAATTTCCCCTCTTTCCTTTCAGCTCAGTTCAACACTTCACACTTTGTGCTACTCTCGAGTATGGAGATGCTTGCAGAAGCAGCCACTATAACAGGCCATTGGCAGTGCTCTCTCTTTTCTAGCCACTATGTTGAGAGGCATGCAGAAAGAACAAGTTCTTGGGACAGAGATCAAAGAGTGCCTGATCTGAGTATAGAGTATAATGAGTCTACCCATTTACACATATGGATATTGTTATTGTGATAACTTAGGTGAAGTACCTTGTGCACATCTACTACTCCTTAGCTGGGAATCAAACTTGCAACATACACAGGACCACAGTAGCTCCAAAATCGTACTACACAAGTAACATTCTCATGGCTCGTTTGGTACTCAACGTAAGATTTAGAAGGTCTACGTTCAGTACGGAGAGCAGAAGTTCAGGTATTTCTTCTGTTTACATGTATATTTTTTATACTTTTACTTTTTAAAAATATTTTTTAAATAAATTTGGTTGACATCATTAAGAATTTGCCTAAACAGATACAGTACTACAGGTAGGTCCCCTTTGGAGTTTTTTTCCCCCCCTTCGGTACAAGTCTGTTACATAAAAACATATCTTGGGTACAAGAACAGGAATTACTGTCATGCCCCGAGCAAACATTTAAAGTTATTGCGACGCACAGTGGATGAAACAAAACTTGAAAGTTGTCTCTTGTTTATTTGAATAGTACTGTATTGCTTCTTTACATTAGGCTACAAGAAGACAGAAATGTTTCTCACAAAAGATGTTTTCAGACAAATGTTTACCCTACTGTAACAAGCGCATACGTTCAGCTTTAAGTTACACTTCTGCAGCAATTGTTATTGCTTTACACGCGGTCAGAGACTGTTTACGGAGGGCAAGACATACCTTTACGAGTCTTAAATGCGGGTCATCGTCGACAGTACTCAAAATCATCAGAGAATTCTTATACTTAGACGATGTTTTCAATACTTTTTACGAGGGTACATTTTTTTTTTAATCAGACGAAAGAAGCCATGCTCCCATTTACAATTTCCCATTCTATGCACAAGCAAACAGATCCACTTCCGGAATCATAAAGTAGACGAAGCGGCTGCATTTCGTGGCAAGTTACTGCACACTTCATCGCGCTGTTGAGCTCACCATTATTTCTGTCCTGCTTGCGTATTTGGGCGTGTTGTGATACATTAGGGCCTGTTCCGGCCTTGGTCAGCACTCTATATAAGACGCATTGGCTGAAGAAAACTTAGTTACGTTTGTGAGATCTGAAGTTGCAACAAGCAACAAGTTGCTAAACAAAAGTAGTGCACAAAATAAAGGTGCAGCAATAACTAACAACTGTAAATATGTGATGGTTTGACAACTATATGACGTTACCAAAGTATGTGATGTTAGTTGCAGAGGTAGCTGCAAAACATATACTGTTACTACTGTAATACAAACCAAGCAAGAACTGAGGTGACTCACCTAGCCGACGTCCTTGTTGAGGATGGAATCCAGAGTTAAACGTCTACGGTACAACTTCATGCTATAAACATGCGAGCATATTCACACACTGAAGCCGCAAAATATTTTTTACTGCAAATTAACAGGAGCTATGGTGTTCAGACAGGATTTATACGGAGTAAAAACCTTTAAGAACAGGAAATTAATACCAATGAGATCACTTCCTCTTGAGTTTGAATTTTCCAAAAAAAAAAAAAAAAATCCAAACAGAATTTAGGCCACTATAGAGATCTATAATAGATTTCTTAAAATATCATCGATTCAAATACCCAACAACAGATTGACCTGAAAACAATCAAAGTTTCTTATTGGAATTCAGTGACTTGCGGCAAACACATAAAACTTCATGCTGAATTTTGCGTGAACCTCTACGAGCCTGCGTGGGTGGGTGGTGTTAGCTGCGTGTTACATATTCATTAGAGAAGTTTAGGGACAAGAAAAATCGATCTCTCGTAGTCCAGTATGCCAACAATGCCAGTTCGAGCGTTGTTTATTTTCTACACCGTGCCGTTTTTAATTTCCAGTTACATTTCAACCTGCTTTCTGTTTCTTTTGTATTTCCGCTATCAGCCTGTTGGACAGAAATGCATGATACCCTCACCATTAATACAAGAATTTGGGAGAATGATAACACATTACTACAGTTATTATTCGAGTATTGTATTTAAATTATGTTATTCCATGCTGCTAAGTCTCGATGGCTGAATTTAGAAGATAATCCTCTTTTCAAAGTGTGCAAAATGCAACAATTGTTCAGGTAATTAAGTAATATACCTTATTTTAAGAGTACAAAGCATTTTTCAGTTTTAAAAGGAATGGAAAAGAATGGGCGACACAGACACGACTCTAGATTACACGAATCGTTATCGTGTCTTTCTGGCTGAATGGGCTACATACTTCGTTCACTTTTTTAAAGCTGACATTTCACACAGACTTTCTTGGCATCATTTTGCCAAAAGATGGCGCTATTAAATCCACTTAAAAAGATACATCTGAGATATTTGTCCCAGTGACCTGTTTAGGAAAGAAACCAGTACGGTATGCAGAGAATTTCTGCTATTTGAAATTACAGGCTGAGTATTAATCAGTAATTTGCTGAAATGACACAGAAAATATTAGAATTTCCAGTTTTTTTAGACACCCAACACAATTACTGAAATTAAATCACAGCTCAACATCTATGCGGCATTGCCTATAGAAAAAGAACAAGCCAATCAGGGGTCATACATAGAATCTTCAGATCTATAGTCAAACACATTATCCATTGTGCCACTGACCCCATGTACATAATTATTTACAGTCCAAAACTGGAGAAAAAGAAAAAGTTTAATATTAAAAGAAGAAGAGAAAACAATGTGTTCATCCAAATTACCGGCTTGGTATGAATTAGTAATTACCTGAAATGAAACAAGAGGTATGAGCATTTCCAGTTTTTTAAAGACCCAAGTCTCATATTGCTGAAATGAAAACGCAACAAGATCTATGCAAAATCGCATTTAAAATGGCACGAGCCAGCCAGGACTCAAAAATAGGATAGAATCTCTAGAATCTAACCAAGAATTGGGCTTCATATTAATCAGTAATTGACTGAAATGGCACAGGAGATCTGAGCATTTTCAGTTTTTTGGACAGCCAACTCTCGATTACTGAAATGAAATCACAAGTCAACATCTATGCAGCATTGCCTTTAAAAAGAAGGCACGAGCCAGCCAGGAGTCGAACCTAGAATCTTCTGATCCGTATTAATAGTCAGACAGGAGATCTGAGCATTTTCAGTTTTTTATCCATTGTGCCACTGGCCCCATGCTCAACACAGGACCTGGCCCAAAAGAGGAAAAAAGTCAACTTTTTATATCACAAATCACAGAGAAAACAGTTTGTAGCTTGAAATTGCTGCCTGGGTATTAATCAGTATTTGGCTGAAATGGCACAGGCGATCTGAGCATTTTCAGTTTTTTGGACAGCCAACTCTCGATTACTGAAATGAAATCACAAGTCAACATCTATGCAGCATTGCCTTTAAAAAGAAGGCACGAGCCAGCCAGGAGTCGAACCTAGAATCTTCTGATCCGTAGTCAGACGCGTTATCCATTGCGCCACTGGCCCCATGCTCAACACAGTACCTGGCCCAAAAGAGGAAAAAAGTCAACTTTTAATATCACAAATCGCAGAGAAAATACACTGTGCCTTGAAATTAAAGGATTGGCATGAATCAGTAATTTACTGAAACGACATAGGATGTCATTGATGATATATATTGCATGTCATAAGTTTTTTACATACGTAACTCTCGTGTTGCTGAAGTGAAATTGCAGGTCAGGATCCATATAGAATCACCTTTAAAACAGAAGAAGCCAGCCAGGAGTCCAACCTAGAATTGCCTAAGGTGTAGACAGATGCATTATCCATTGCTCTGCTGGCCCCATGTCTGTCTGAAACGTTTGCATCTCCTTAAGCTCTATAGTTTCCTGACATCTGCAGGGCCTTCAGGAAGAAAGTAGAATAATTTCATATACTTTTGTTTCATATGCATCACATTGTTATTGATCTTGTCAGTGGACTGTGCATGCTAGCAAATTCACCAGAAACAAGTTTTGATTTTGATTTTTATGTTTTTTTTTATTCATAGCATCAACATATTGGCATGCAAGAACAAAAAACATGTATTTACATCATATATACACATTCAACAATCCATGTTATCCCATTCCCTAAACTGCCACAGAGGCACAGTCTAACACAGAAGTGGAATTAACCCTTTAAAGTTAATATTTACCCACTTCCTGCTCCTCCACCAAAACACATATCTACAAACATTATATCAAGTTTGGATGCATTTTCTATGGTCCATTTATATAAAATTCCTGGTATACTATAAAAGATCCAATGTGAGTGTTATGTACATGTATGAATAAGAATAGTCTGAACATTTAATGTAATTACACATATGTATTACTGTGTATATACACACTAACACACACATAAAATATGACCAAGCGTTTAGGCAGCTGCATGTAATTCTGCAGAAATATTACATTTATGGTTACATTTTTCCCACTGAATTTAGCTAATCTTTCCTTGCAAATGCTAGATTAGAATGATCTCGTTACCTTCTGAACTATTCCCTGCCCTTGAGTATTAAAACAGCAGGAAGGTTTAGAGTTAAATTCACGTCTCAAACATCTGTATTAACACAATTTAAATTTTAAGTTTAGTCAGCCCCTTGTCCTGGACATACATTTACCAAAGACAGATGGGGGACACAAGTCCTTCAGCAACAAAATTTCGAAATTTCGGCTCAAGGCAGTGCTGAGATCCAATAACGATACTCAGCCATTTGGCTGAGAGCGTTTTCTGAATGTATCAGAAATCAAGCAATGCGACGGCACACTGCCTGAAGACGTTGACAGGCCAGGGGATGAAGGGAATTGTGAGATTAGTCCAAATATCAGCAGAGGGGACAGGGTGACTGAGTTGTCCGGTGTCTGCGTGTTGGTATCGCTCTGAGTTTCGGCCCGGTTCTGGGGCATCAGCAGCTGGCCTGGATCATCCTGCCGGAGCGCTCGTTGCGGTGCACCTTGGTGTGCTTGGACAGGTGGTCACTCCGGGCAAAGGACTTGTGGCACAGCGGACACTTGTGAGGCTTCATCCCAGAGTGGGAGCGCCGGTGGCGGGACAGCTCGTCAGACCGCGAAAACCTGCCACACAGGAAAGCGTGATGTCACAGTTTACTGGCTGTCGCTGACATATTAAGACTCATGAGAGCCACTGAAATATTACATCTGCTTGGGTCGCATGTTGTGCCTTCACTTAAAATCAAAGAAGAGACCGGCAATTATTGCATGACTATGTCAGCACCACTCTGATGAATGTCTGCGGATGAACTACGTTAGACAACCCTTTGTATCCTGTGCGTTTTTCTTCTGAATGACAAAATAATGATCCCCATCCTCATCAAACTTTTAATGAAAACTATTATTTCTGCCTGATTTTGGGTTGTACTGCCAAAGACCAGCTTCCTACCTACCACATGCCCATCTGACATTGTTATGGCCACACAACGGCATGCCATTCAACATTCTTATCCATTTCTTCATTAAACCAGCCATTTGGGAACTAGCTAACACCATGTCTTATCTGTCAGGCTCTTCCCCCTTCAGTTGCAGTCAAGTACTGGGAAAAAGGGTCAGACTCTCACCTCCAGCCGCAGCCAGGCCAGACGCAGATGTAGGGCTTCTCCCCAGTGTGTCTGCGGAAGTGGGCTTTAAGATGGCTGCTCTTGGTATACATCTTAACGCAGCCCGGGTGAGGGCACTTGTGAGTCCGTGGGCTCGCAGAGGGCACCTGTCCTGCCTGCACCGTGGCAGCTTTGACCGAGATGGTGCTGGACTCAACGACCTCCTTCACTGCAATAGGGAGGGAGCGATCTTCACATACTTTTGGTTTTGGCTGCATGTCCCATTCTGTGGGGAAACAGGGTTGGTGGGGGAGTAGGTGTCAGCGCTTTAGTCGGGCTCCCTTCGCCCCGGACACCGAACATCAGGTAGGCCACCTGGCGAACACCAGAACTTGGCTGAGATTCAGGCTTCAGGGACAGACGTGCGGTCCGCAAAGGCTGCAGCCGGAGCACCAACGGAGGGCTGGCGTGCCCCAGGGCGGGGGCAGCGTTTGGGCTGGTGTTGAGTGACACAGGGGCCGACAAAGCAGGGCTAACCTCTGTAGATTTAGGAGGAGCACCAGATGGAGGGGTGGACTCTTCTGAGGAGCTTATTTGTAGCGGGTGCCAGGGTTCTAGAAGTCCTTCTTTCACCTGTTCCATCTTCTCCCGAAGGAACTCCTCAATCTCCTCCAGGGTGGGGGAGTAGTCACTGAGGAGCCAGGCACTAAAGTCAGGCAGTCTGGGGGTCTGCCCTTTGCTGGGCTTCTCCCCATGGTCCGTAATGGAGCTGAGAGCTAGCCGTTCCCGACTCTCCACAGGACTAGAGCTAGAGCCAAGACTGTCCAGTTGGTCATTGGACTCCACAGTATCCAGGACTTGGGCACAAAAGTGCATTTTGGTGCTCTCAGCATCCAAACCTGCCAGTGAGGCTTTTGTTAGTGATTTTCGAGAGAGCACTTCTCTGTCTTTATCTGAGACCATTTGGTGCTGTTTAGTGAGGGGAAGGGGGGTGGGCTCCTTTTGGCAAGGTCACAGAGAGGCGAAACTAAAGGAAAGCATGAGGTGGCACAGATGGTTACCTGAAAAACAAGGGGTTGGGGGGCATGGTTACATCACTATCTGAAGGACATCCCATCAATCTGCTATCCAGCAGAAACAGCAAGTGTGTGCCCAGCTAACAATTTTAACATTAAAGCAAGTGTTCCCATTACGTACAATTTTTCAAGCTGTCTTTGTGTTCCTTGGATATTATTTAGCTGGAATATTTTCTTGTGCCCTTGGCAGAACTTGTCTGGAACAATGTAACATTCTTAGAATGTTTGAGGAATGTTCAAATTATGACATTATGTCAAACCCCAGTGAACATATGAGCTAAATTCTCCCTAATGGTATGGGGAATTTTCTGTTCGCTGGGTGTGTGAGTGTAAACTTTTAGAGAAATGTGCTTTACTGTACCCTTCAGTCCACTGTACCCTTTGAACAAGCTTATTTGCCTATATATCTACATTGCATTTTACTGCATTTTTAGAGAGATATTAAAGTTGGCTGTCTTTATTTTTATACCAGTTATAGATGTACTTCATAAAGAATAGTTGGTCTGTATTACTGAAACACAGGAAAACATTACCTGTTAAGTGTTAAGTTTTAGGCTCTGTAGCTAGTTGATAACGGAGCACTTTGTCCCTCGTCCATGGCATTCACAAAAGCGTGGCGACCATCAACACGACATTACTATTGCCTCAAATTTCCCAAGCTTGCTCGTGAGCTTTGAGTTTGGCTGAGAGGAAGCCAAATATTAGTACAACCGAACCGCAAACATCTAATGCCAGTTATCTACCTACTGCAGAGTGTTATATTATTGCAAAAATAAATATTAGTCCAACATTAAAGCATTTTTGCGGATTTACCTTGTGTACGTTGTTCGGAAATCGTTATTTCTCCTCGCCATTTAAAGGACGATTTTAACAGAGGATGAAACTTTGAGTTTAGGAGACCCATGCAATTATCTACCTTACAGCCAAAAAAGTAAACAGCGGCCCAAAGTCAAGGTTGATGCCTGTCATTAATTTCTTCTCACGATTCTTTGCTTCTATTCTACCACGATGCGGATTATCACATGACGGCACACATGGTCTCGTATCCAATTGCGACGCTCTCATTGGTTACAAACAGGAGGCTCGCTCCAATGTGTAAGCGACCATTGGCTATTACCCCATAAACCCTCAGGGATACGTCATCTTCTCTGTTGTGTGCCTCGCTCTCTCCCTCTGCATCCCGCGCGTGCTGGGAGCACTTCTCTACGAACCATTTGGATGAATCGTTCGGACATCCTGAGAGTAGTGCGCCTGGGACAAACAAAGAGAACCATTTATTTTCAAATATAAGTGTGCATCTCCACAAACCGTGAAGAACCTTTATATATCGTGTGGAGCCCGCACCTTACATGGAGTGTGATCCCGTGGCAACATAGTTGCGCAAATGGCGTAAAACTGTTAATCACAAACCCTGACTAGACAGCGTGAAAATATCGGTTTACCTATGCTCACAAGCATAACGCATGCCAGCTAAATATGTTAAACAGTAACACTCTACTATAAAAGACAACTCTACAACAAAAAAGAAGAAATGTAACTGTTTTATTTT